TCCCCCCCCCCCAGGCTGTCAGGTGCATTATGTTTTCAAGCACAGTGAATACTGTTTTTCAGAAATTCACTATAACCCCACCAAGCATTGGAAAGTCATGATCAGAGTCCACAGTTTGCATATAAAGCAGTTATTGGCTGTGACCCTGGGAGAGCAAGTTTTCCTTGCCCCCCAGCCCCCCGATACTGTTCCTTACCTATTAACGGAGAACTAGTTGGTTTTATTATGCCAAGTCCAGTCTGAATTACTGAATGAGGAAAATGCCCAAAGCGCCGAGAAATTTACCGCAGGTGTTTGAAAAGCACTTCAAGTCATAAAGCTGGAATTCTTATGGATATTGACCCCCAAAATAGACAGCATGGCAGTGTGCAGTGGGCCCAACTGGATCGAATTCCATACGGGTGGCCTTTCTAGTAACAGACTCTTATTTGAGGCTATTCTTGGATGGTGCTGACAAGTTTAATTAATTGATAACACGCAGGAAAAGTACTAGACTGTTTTTAATCAGCCTCCTACAGCGGCCTTCTTGAGAGAAAGATACTCAAATCTTCGAGACAGTTAAGAGGCCCATTAAAATTAATTTTTAAAGGTCTATTAATGGACTTTTCCCTCTAGAAATATTACATAAAGGAAGAAACTCAGAGGTCCTAAAACATCACTCCAGTTGTTAAGATGATGATTTGTGTGTCTTTGACTTTGTCTCCCTTGGAGTGTCCCAAACGCCCGGTGACAAGCCAAATGCCATCCCAATTATAAGGAGGATAAACAAGAGCCTGAAAAGCTAGATGACAGGCTGACATCCCTCTGGTTGGGAACTTGAACAAGAGCTAAGTGACCTCACTTTATCCGGGTGCCGTCACCCAAGTCATGGTCTGATTCTTTAAATCCCTAAGACCACCCCATCTTTGGACGCAGTAGTGAGGAGGGCCGGGGAAGGTACCTTGCCTTGTTTTAAGTGTGTCCTCGACGTGACTTTGACTTTGCAGAGGAGGCTGGTGATGACCCCTCCTTTCTAGGAAGGTCTAGACATTTCAGAAAAAAAAAACATTTTTAATCAGATTTGCATAAAATTCATCGGGTTGATTACTGGGCCCAAAGCCTCCTAAACTTGAGGGCTTCTTGCTAAAAACTGGGAATAGGAAAATACTTAAGCATATATTTAGTTCTTGTCTTTTTAAAAAGAGTACACAAAAAGTCAGCCAACTGCATAATTTGGCAGCAGGGCAAGGGAGGAGGGTCCCCCCTCGTCATCTCCCAAAGGATGGATACCGCTAAGGATAGGTGCCCCCAAATAGCCCCTCATTTTCGCAAGTCCCCAAGGCCAGAGAACTGTCTCCTCTCCCTCCCGGTCACCTCTCCTTCCTCCTCCCAGGAAAGCTGCCTTGTAATTTTGGCATCTGCCCTCCCCTAGGACTGGCTTGGGGAATGAAAAATAATGAATTTAAGGGAAGGGAGAACTGTTTTGAAGGGAGAAACTGGAAGGCGCTTGCACGCCTGGTTTTGCCGACAGAGATGCACGCCTGCCTGCCGGGTAGGGAGCTCCCTATTGCCTCCTGGCCCTGGGCAGATTTTTCTCCTCTGGGGCCTTGGGCACAGCAAGACCAGATACCAGCGGTGATGAGTGTCGTTGAGTTACCCGCAGCCCGAGAGTCTCCTCAGTGCGGTTCTATGTCATTTTAATGTAGTCATGAGAAAAAACGAAAGCCGGGAGCTGATGCTGATAGCAAACGGACAGTCATTTTCTTTAGCCGAATTGAGACTAACCTAAAAATTATATGTTCTGTCTTTTAATAAATGCCAGCCTCTTCCTCTGAAAAAAATGCTGGCTAGCTAAATGGATACACGGATAGGAAGAAGAAAGGAACGGAGGGAGAGAAGGGGGAGCGCACTTGAGTCAAGTTGTATTAACAGTGGATTTGGGGCCTCAAGTAATTTACTTTTCAGTGTTTGGTTGCAAGTGATATTTCTGCCATAGATTGAAATATATTGCTTCCAACCCCTGCTCCCGGCCCCTTCTTCTAGTCCCCCATCCCCAGAAAACTGACCTTGGCCACAGAGATCATTTCCTCATCCGAGGAGGGGAGGGACCCCAGCTTCATGCACCCCAAAGGCACATCTGGGCAGGAGCCCATGCTCACCATGCAGAGTCCCAAGGGAGCGTTGGTTAGGCGGCCTGCACACCACTGGAGATCTCCCCGTGGAGGAAACTGGTCCCCTCCTCCCTTCCTCCCACTCCCTCCCTCCCATCTCTTGGGAGCAGTGCCTTATTGAGGTAGAGAGATCCTGTCTAAAGTCTCCGGTGGGATTCGGGCATGAAAAATAGTCCCTGACCTTTAGATGTAACATTTAGTTTTCTGTACACTCCAGACTCTGCCACCAAGTCTATTCGTAAAATATCCAGAGCATGGTTTCCAGAAATAATAAAGTAGAAATCCCACGCTTAACCTGTGTCTTGTCACGGTGCACGTACAAATTAGCACTGTTTGTCTGACACCTATGGTAAACCTCGCGGGTCCTGAGAAACACAGGGCTGTCGAGTAGGGGTCCTCGTACAGCCGGGGATGTATGGAAAGAGTACACGTTTGCGTGGATTTTAGTGGTTGTGCGAAAGCTCCCTGAGGGCACGTTCTGGAGTCGGGACTGCCTGCCTGCCGCCCCGTGAAGCCTGGGAGCCGTGGCTTCCTGCCACAGGCAGCACAGACACCAGAAGGTCCCGTCCCGGGAAGGCCAGGGCCCCCTTAGCACAGTTTGGAACCACTTTGACAGGGTGCTACATGTACTCGGGGCATGTGGGCCACAGCTGGCCAGGCCACGGACCCCCTGATCGTCAGTCCCACCGTTGGCCAGGAGGGAGCCGCAGGCGGCTTTGGTCGTGTCCGGAGCCTCGCAGCGCCCGGCTCCATTCTCCTGGGTCCCAGCCTGGCAGTCATCTCTCTTCTTTCCCACGCCCTTTCCCATGCCCTTTCCCACGCCCTTTCCCACGCCCTTTCCCACGGCTGGCCAGCTGGCAGCAGGCTGGAGCATTCCGGCACCGCCAAAGGTGTGCGGCAGCCGCAGGAAACAGAGTCAGAACAGCCAGGATGGTTTGGATTCATGCGGGTGTGCATGTTTTGTAGGCCTTTGCAGTAAGGCTGTAGGTGATTGCGTTTTCTGTTCATAGAAGTAAATACAGTGGAGGGCTTGGAGGAAAAACTGCTTTTAAATCACGTCGGTTAAACGTGAGTTGACAGCATCCTGAGGACAGGGCGACGGTGTTGCCCCAGAAGAAATAAACCCAGGGACAGGAAAGGATGACACAGACGTCAGCCATATGCTGCCCGAGTACAGAGGGAGGCTGCTCGTGACTGGGGCCGCGGGGACGGCTAAATGCGCCCTCTCGGACCAGTGGTCGCACCCCTCCGTCAGGCCTGTCCTGGTGGCCTGTCCCGCCCCTTCCTGGCCTAAACCTGTCCCTCCCCCCCATTTGCGGACCTGTCATGTGAACTTCCTGAGAAGCTTCATCATTCATTCGTGCGGACCCCCGAATTTGCATGTTGTTTGCACCTACACCTTTTTTGGTGTCTAAAACACACACACTTAGGGGCGCCTGGGTGGCTTAGTCGGTTAAGCGTCCGACTTTCGCTTAGGTCATGATCTCGCGGTTCGTGGGTTCGGGCCCCGCGTCAGGCTCTGTGCTGACTGCCAGCTCAGAGCCTGGAGCCTGTTTCAGTCTGTGACTCCCTCTCTCTCTGACCCTCCCCTGCTCACACTGTCTCTCTCTCTCCTAGAAATAAATAAAACATTAAAAAAAAAAAAATTAAAAAAAAAAAAAATAAAACACACACACTTAAAATGATCTTCAGACCCACACTGGGGTGCGCACTCCATTTGGCACACGGATGTGGGCTTGCAAATCCGAAATGAGCGCGGCCCGCAGTGGCAGGCGCGGTGCGGGTGCGGGAGAATCCACAGCGACGCCCGCACCCACACAGGCGGCCAGGCGGCCAGGCGGCTTGGAAGGAGACACCGCAGTGTTATTCAGAGACAGCCTACCTGTCTGTCCGGATAAGCCTGAAGGTAGCTCAGGGGATGATAAAGCTCTCTCTCTCTGAGTTCTGGAAAAGTCCCAGGTCCAGGCGTCAGAGCCCTGGGCCCCACCCAGGGCCCTGCTCCTCACTTGCTGTGTGATGTGCTGGTTGCCTCTCGGGACCTCGTTTTCCGACCAACCAAGCGAGCTAACCTCCCCTGGCCGACTGGGCCCGTCTCTCTCCCTCCCTGCAGCTCAGCCAAAGACCCACAGTGGAAGAGCTTAGAGAGAGGAAGATCCTCATCCGCTTCAGTGACTACGTGGAGGTGGCTGACGCTCAGGACTATGACCGCAGGGCAGACAAGCCGTGGACCCGCCTCACCGCTGCCGACAAAGTGAGCAGAGGGGTGAGGAGTGGGGTAGGGCGTCCTCAGGCCTCCGTGGGCCCCGCGGCGGCTCTCCGGCCTGCCCGGGACCCCATGCGGAGACCGAGGCTGGGGCTGCAGTGGCCGGGAGGGAGCGCTAAGTGCCCGCCGGGCCCACTGAGGGTGCTGGTTCCCCAACGGCTCAGGTAGTCTGCGGGGGGGTCACTGAAGTGACGGTCCACTGCCGGGGGGAAGGCGCACAAGTGTCACGCAGACTCATGCTGCGATGGCAGGAGGAGAGCCCGCGGGGGCGGCTGTGTGCACACAGACAGGACATCTGTAGGGCCCGGAATGGTCCTCAAGTGCGAGGCTCTGGGCTCCTTGCAGACCTTGGTGGCGAGGCCGCTGTCCTCAGCGCCCAGGATTCACATAACCAGAGAGGCCAGCTCGCTGTGTCTGCGGCGGTTCTAACCTAACTGTGGCAACGGGCCACCAATCAGAACCCTTGAGTCTGCGGCCGGGCTTTGTAAGACACGCAGCAAAGGGAAAGGGAGTCGTCACCTGTCCGCTGGACTGTGACTCAGACACAGCCTGTGCTGTGCAGCCCTTTGGGACTCTAGCCTTGTCACCGTTAGGAACTGGAGAGCTAAGGGCCTTTCAAGTCACCAGTGCAAAATAATGGCCATGTCCGGTGTGCAGGTGACCCTGGGGAGACTCGGGGAAGAGCACTGCCCTTGCCCCATGAGTCTCTGGGCCGGGGCCTGCCTTACGTGGGCTGCCAGGCAAGGCCCCCTGCAGCGCGCCCTGGCCTGATCCCGTGCAGGGAGTCTGCACGTGGGGTGGGAGCGGCGGGGCCAGAAGCAGGCTTTCCAGAAATGCCTCCCGCATGACGGGTCCCCCACCCCGGGTCCTGATGAGTGGGAACCTCTGCCCTCCTCTTAAATGTGGCACTCTGTTCTTCCGCTTCCGGGCATCCGTGGTGAGTGGCCCCAGGCACGGCAGACACAGCCCCGCAGGCCAGGTGTCCAGGTTGGGGTGTACTGGAAACGGGGTCAGAGGGGGGACCTTGGCCCTTTCTGCCTTTTGTTCACGCCCTGACTGCGGCAGCCTTGCCCGTGTCTCCCCGCGCACAGGCTCATGCTGTGGGTCGCAGCCCGCGAACTCCAGTTCCTCGAAGGCTGCGGCACACGACCCGGAAGTGGTGCCCACAGATGCGGGGTGCGCCTGCCTTCCCGGGCGGGGGTCGGGCAGCCGCTGTGATCCTGCCTAAAGGCTTTTCCGGCCTCAGACTCGCAGTGCCTTGACAGGCCCATCAGACGAAACCCAGTAAAACCTTGGCCTGCGAGTAACTTGTTCTGCGAGTGTTCCGCGAGACGAGCAGACAGTTCTAGTACATTTTAACCTGATAAATGAGCGACGTCTTGCAACACCAGTCATCTGTGATGCCGAATGTCACATGATCACAACTGAGCCAAAGGTTCTTGAAATTCGCTTTGATATATAACAAGTGCTTTGGATGACAAGCGTGTTTCTGGAACGAACTGTGCTTGCAGACCAAGGTTTTACCGCACTCCCCTTACAAGGAGCTCTGGGAGGAGCGCCTGGGTGGCTCAGTCGGTTAAGCATCCACCTTGGGCTCAGGTCATGATCTCCTAGTTCATGAGTTCGAGCCCCACATCAGGCTCTGGGCTGACAGCTAGGAGCCTAGAGTCTGCTTCGGATTCTGTCTCTCCCTCTTTCTCTCTCTCAAAAATAAACAAACATTAGAAGGAGCTCTGGAAAAGAGCACATGTTTAGAATTTCAATCCTTAGGGAAGAAGTGAGGTTTTCTGCAATTTCAGACCTTCTGTTCTACCACCTCCTCATCTGTCCTTGCGTCCTGCCTGTCTGCCCTCCCTCAGCCACAGCACATCTCCGGACGGTGCTGGAAAGGGGCAGCTGTTCAAACATAGCCCGTGCCCTTAATGATGGCATAGACCACCTCAGAATCAACAGAGCTGTGAAAGAGGGCGGGCTTTGGAAATCAAAGGGAAAGGAGGCAGCTGGCCATCACCTATTCCATTAATTTGAGGAATTTGACCCCATCCCTTCTAGAAGGATCCATTCTGAGGCGGCACGGTGCTTGTGCTGAGCTTCGATTGTTTACCTAAGGAAGATGAGAGGTTGACATTTAAATGTGCACTTGGGGCGCCTAGGGGGGGTGCTCAGTTGGTTGAGCATCCGACTTTGGCTCAGGTCATGGTCTCACGGTTTGTGGGTTTGAGGCCTGCGTCAGGCTTGCTGCTATCAGTGCAGAGCCGGCTTCGGAACCTCTATTCCCCTCCCCTGCTCACGCTCTCTCAAAAAATAAATAAAACCTTAGAGAAACAAACAAAACACCTTTAAAAGTGCACTCAAGACCCCAGGAGGGTGGCGCGGATCTGCATGCCTCGCGCTGCCTAGACAGAAGTGCTCCATGAAGAGAGGAAGGAAAAGACACATTGGGTGGTAGGCATCATTTGCAAGTTATGGTCTGGGGAGGAGGCATTCTTAGTATGTTCCAGGTGATTTTCTTTCCCCTCCCAGTGAAGGAATTCGTTTTTATGTACTTCAGTCATACGGCTGTCAAACAAGACAGAAATAATAAGGGAACTCCTTTCCATCTGCCTCTTCTGCATACTCACGGACCTCTCTTCATTCCAGGCTGCCATTCGAAAGGAGCTCAATGAATTTAAAAGCACTGAAATGGAAGTTCATGAATTGAGTAGGCATTTAACAAGGTTAGTACACTCAGGGGTTCTTTTCCGTTTGTTTTTTTGTTTTTTTCTGTCAAATGGTCATATCTGCTTCCCAACTAACTGTCCCGTCTGCTGTGGGATTACAGGTGTGTGGTGGGCGTGATGCGGGAGGGGATGAGAGAAGGTCCTCGTGAAGTTCCTCCATGGTTACAGAATCTAGGGAAAGGAGCGCCGTGGCCTTGTGAAAGCTTAGGTTTTCACTTAAAGATCCGTTGGGTGCCCGACCGCCAATAACCCCAGAGTGGGTTTTTATGGAAACTTCAGCAGAGGAGAAAAGCCCGTTGACATTTATATTGGGTCAGCCCAAGCCAAGGCTGGGCAAAATACCAAGTCCATGTGGCGCTGGAAGTGCAGACACTCCGGAGGGCTTTGCCCCTGTGAGTCCATATCCTGTGGGGACACTTAAACAAAGAGAGATGTAAGGTCACGTGGCCAGTTAGTGACAGAGCCATGGACTTAAATGTTATGAGTCCTATGGCAAACGTTTAGAGAAACGGGGCGTACCGACTGTGTGGCGCTGGGGCTCGGAGACACGGGTTCGGTGCTGCACCTTGCTGCTGAGTCCAGGCTGAGAGAGAGGGCCGAGGGCCACTAAGGCCATCCAGTTTGGGCCCCAGTTGAAATGACTCCAAAACTAAGGGTGAATTCCGTGGGGCTCAGGGACTTGAGTTCTGCTGAGGACATGCCTTTGGGCGGAGGTTTAAGCAGATTTAGCCTGGCGCTCGTCAGCCACGGGGATGGGAAGCTCGGACTGTGGCATCCGGCATCTGTTACAGCCCCTTGGTCTTGACTTAACTGTTTGTTTTCTAGGTTTCACCGACCTTAACAGTCAAATTCCTCCTGAGTGCTATGCTGTCTTCAAAACATAAATTTCTAAGAACCATAAGTGCTGGTATTTATTCACTTCCCCATTATGATGTAAATCTTCTGAACTGCCTTTTTTTAAAAAGAAGAAAAATAAAAGGAAACCCGATCAGGATTCTCTTTGCGCAAACGCAACAGTCACCGCTCGGGGTCAGCTACGCCACCACCGCGGGCCCGAGGGCACCAGTGGGCCGAAGACCTCCCGGCACTTGGAGGGGTCCTGGTCTTCTCCCCGCACGCCTGGCGGGCGCCGCGTTCGTTTAGGCACTGGCGAACCTCTTCCCCCGAAGTGTCAGTCACCTGCGTCCAGAGAAAGCGGAGGCGGTGGGTTCGGCCTGGAATGGACTGTGCAGACGGCCTGGTTGGCTTTCTAGACTTGGCCAGACACACCGGCTCCTGGCCCGGCGACTGGCTCGGGGGCCTCTCGGGAGGAGGATGCTGAGATGCTCAGTCACCCCTGTCCTTTCTCTCCCTTCAGCCATCATCCATACAGTGAACAGAAGGGAAGTTGCTTTTCTGGGGGAGTCTGTGGTTGGCTGACTGTTGGTCTCGAGAGAGTGTGGCTGCAGGCATGTCCCCTCGCGCCGAGCCGCCGCCCAGGGCCTCTGGTGTGCAAGGGGGAAGTTGTCATCCGCTCAGTTCCAATCAGTTGGCCCATCTGTGTCTCAGAAGCCAGGTGTCCGGGTAGCCTCAGCCGCTGCTGGGGGTGCCCGTGGTACTGGTGCGTCCGAGTGTAAGGACCCCGCAGAGGACAGAGAGGCTGGGGTAGGAAGCTGCTTGGCTGGTGTTCCTCATTTCCTCCGTGCACCCCAGGGCCGCTGACCATACGGGCTGGGAGTTAGCAGCCTCTGAGTGCAGGACCGATGCATGCACGCCAGACACCATTTCACCGGTCTCTGATGGGCTGGGACTCCAGAACCACCCGATGGCCTTCTAGTCCCCTTTCTTTGCGCTCAAGAGTCGCCGGGGAGGGGCCTCGGGTTGGCGGACACCAGCACAGCGCGAACACCAGCCACGCCTGCCCGTGCTGTACCTTCCCGCTCCTGCCCGTCTGGAGAGAATCCTTCCTCCCTCGTGGTGCTGGCAAAGCTGATCGGAGGGGTTTCTCTGAGTGTCCCATTTACTTGGGACCGCAGGAAGGCAGTGGCCTTCTGACAGGGGGGTCACCGAGGGTAAGGTGTACGGTGAGTGGGAGCACAGCCCCCAAACCCTAACGACTATCTTCACGAGGCCCATTGCAGCTGCTTCTGTTTTCCCGCCTGACAGACCCCGTAGGGCCCTCTGTCGTGGTCTCGCAGGTACCGTGATTTCTCTCGGTTTATGGCTTGCTCTCCGCCACACGTGCCCAGGATTTACAAAGATCCCGGGCTGGCCTTCCCTAAAAGGAGTCGACCAGTTGCCACCCCAAAATGTATGGGAAGTGGGTTACTCTTGGGATGCACCCCCATCGACGAGGCCATTTAATGCTCTGCAGGCATTAACAGCCCCTCTGAGCAGGGTCGCAGGGTCTGGGGGGAGCGCGGGGCCATTCTTCGGGCCGTGCCCACTAGCCGCTGCAAAGCTGTCGTGCGCCTGTCCCATACCGAGGGGCCGTCACTAGATCCTTTTATCTTCGAATGTGGAATCTGATAGCTAACTGCCGCGGGAAGGTATCGTTCAGGGAAAACGTGGTCGGGATTGGAGTGGCTGTACAGTCTTCCCGAAAGGCTTACTGACGTTTGAATGTGCAAATGGTGTGACGAAAGATGTAGGGGTCTTTCGTCTAACTTCTCGACGGCGGGCACGTCCCAGGCCGAGGTGCCTGCCTTGCCCGGATTTGAGTCTGAGCTTCCTGTAACTTGCCCCCATCTTCATGCGGCTCCCGGGGCCCTGACATGACAGGCCTGCCCCAGGCCTGAGAGCGAGTCCCGAGGGAACGCATTCCACCGCCCGGACCCCTCCCTCGAAGGCCAATGGCTGCTTTGCTGGCTCTGGGGCCTCTGATTGCCCGGGAACGGGACGCCCAGGTCAGTTTCCCTGCAGCCGGCTGCCCAGGTTTTCTGCCTGAAGTGTACCCTCTTCTTCCAGTCCACGTGGAGCTGGGGAGAAACTGAACACAATTTCAGCCCCCACCCCTGCAGAGCACCCTCCGTGAGCCGTCAGTTGCAGGAATTAGGGGTGCACCCTCCCTGCTACTGAGCTCTCAGCCGCCATCAAGATGGGCTGTTAATTCAAGCCCAGCTCAGGGGCTCAGCAACCTCCGTGGACCACAGGATGGGCCCTCTGCCGTTGCCTTCCTTCCTTGAAATCCTGAGGTCTTTCTACAAATCTATCCAAATTTCTTTTTTGCCGCATTAAGACAACTGGAAGTTGTGTTACTTTCTAAGATGACAAATTGGCAGTTACAAAAAGAGAGGGATGGGCTCGGTGGTTTAAAATGCATCCCTTTTCTGAAAAAGCTGCGATTCTCAAAGGTCTTGTGCAAACAAATTCCCAGTTGAGCCTTCTGTCCTTTGGGTTAGTGTGAGGAAGGACGTGAAGATTCTCAAAAGGACTCCCTCTTGAAAGCAGTCATCGCCGCCACCTCCCGCCACAGAAGGGACTCCTGTCGGCCCCTTTGCTCTCTCAGAATTGCTGGTTGATTCCTCTCCAAAGGCCCTCAAAGCCCTGTAAAACTTAAAACTTTAGCCTTTATGTCCAATTAGAGAAACCAAACAATGTGATGGTAGATGTGATTTTAAACAAAAACCCTCTGAGTTTATTTTTCTCCCGCTTATGAACGTGTATTTATATTTGCTGAATGAATATTGTGGTGTGTGCTTCGATGAATGGGATTTCAGGCTCTCCCCGTGAACAGCCAGTGGGTGAAGGTCACCTCCAATGACTTTTGCTTCCCATCTGTCTGTCAATCCCCAAACCAGTTGCTTTTTCCAGTTGCTTCCCGGGTGTCTGTACATAGTTTGTCTTTGTATAGGAGTGCTCTCCTGTGTTCTATTTAACAGATGATGGCTGTGTGAGGAAGATGGTGTAAATAGAATACAGATTAAACTGGATCTCTACGGCCTACGTTTTGTACATATAGAAACTGCATGGTATTTAAATTATTGTTTGTCTCTGATGATATATGCAGTTTCTTTAAAAACAAACCAAAAAAAAAAAAAGTCTAAAAAAAACCCTTGCCTTGGCTCCTGTGTGTGTCTTGTCAACCACAGAAAAAAGTTGGGCTGAGGGCGGCAGTTGGGACGGAGGGCAGGCCAGCTCATCAGCAAAGCGTCAGAGTTAGAGAGACACACAGCCCCTCATGGATCCGGGGTTCCCGGGTGGGAGGAGGAGGGCTGCACGTAAATTAGCTTTCCAGGACTTTTTTTTTTTTTTATAGTTTATTTATTTTGAGACAAACAGAGCATGAGTGGGGGAGGGGCAGAGAGGGAGGGAGACACAGAATCTGAAACAGGCTCCAGGCTCTGTGCTGCTGACGCGGGGCTCGAACCCACGACCTGTGAGATCTGACCTGAGCCGAAGTCAGACGCTTAACTGACTGAGCCACCCAGGCGCCCCTCCAGGACTTTCTAAGACGTATTGCCCAACTGCCCTTTAATACCTGGGAATCATGGGGGCGCCTGGGTGGCTCAGTTGGTTAAGTGTCCGACCTGTCGGGTCATGATCGCCTGGTTCGAGCCCCACGTTGGGCTCTGGGCTGACAGCTTGGAGCCTGCTTGGGATTCTGTCTCTGGCTCTGTCTCTAAAATAAACATTAAGAAAAACATGTTTAAAAAAAATAATGATCTGGGAATCTTGAATATAAAATAACTTCAATCCCTCAGAGTCCTGTCCGTAGCAGCTCTCAGCTCTGTGTAACAGCAGTGCCATGGGGTGTCACTGCCCCCACGCAAGAGCCACCTGTATTTGTCCTGAAAGCTAAGAGCTCTATCACTTAACTTTCTGGCCCTAATTTGTCTGTCTGAAGTGTTGGGGGGAAGCAAGAGGGGCCTCCGCGCTTGCTGGCTGCATTTCAGGTGGGTGACGTGACTGGACAACGTATGTTTGGCTCTGGGGAAGAGAGGTCCCCACAGCGCCACTCCCGGGAAGCCCGGGGAAGGTCTGAAAGTGCAGGCGCGAACCCGCGAAGGCCTGTGAGTCTGCACATCTAGCTCCCGGACATGCTGCTGCTGCTGCTCCAGGAACCGTGCTTCTGCGTACAGGGCCTTGCACAACAGTAGCCACTTCTCCCCCGGGGACTCCCCAGCCCCGATGACCAGCGTGAGCACGTGCACTGCTTGCTTCTTGGCCGAGCAGCAGCAGCCAGGCCCGCGGCACCTGCAGCATTGCGTCTGCGTGGTCACAGCGCTCCCTGGGCGGGCGGAGGGGCTCCCGGAGCAGGAGGGGCCGCGGCACAGAGGCCAAGGGGCTGCAGAAAGGTTTACAGGCTTCGGGCCGAGAGCTTCGCCCCCACTCTGCCCCCCGTTCACCTGCAGAGCTCTCGGACTTGTAATCTAATGGGCAGAACAGAAGTACAGGTGCCAAAGGGAGTGAAAGGCTTGTGAAGAAAAGCTTTGGTGGCGCCCCCAGTAGGCTCTGCCCTGCGAGAGGGAAGGAGACCAGCCATCATCCTGAGGGAGCCCTTTGTGAAGCGAACAGAGGCTCTGGCCCTGCACCCCCAATAGGTAGAGGTAGAGGCGGCCCGGGCGGCCCTCCCGAGATCTGTTCCGTCCTCCTGGGGCAGGCAAGTGGTGGCTATGCCACAGCACCTAACCGAGCAATTTGTCCGAGTCACTTTACTTCTCTGGGGCCTCAACTTTCTCATCTGGCAGATGGGGACACAGATGTCCTGTGATGTCCTTTAGGGCATCAGCTTTCTAGGACTTGGGTTTCTCTGAATTTTAAAACGCTACACTGAGTCCTGAGGAGAGTCCAGCCCAGGCAGTCTCTTGGAGAATAGTTTGGATTCCTGCCCTTCAGACCACCTGCACGACAGACGTGCGTGCCTGGCACCCCTCCCTGCCTCGGGTTGCCCCCGGAGGGCTTGCTTGTGATGGGACCTACCTGCCCCTTCCCATATGCCTTAGTGGGGGCTCATCACGCAGCCGCTGTCAGCCAGACCACCTTACCTTACGCTGTCTTGCCTCTCCTTTCTTCTGGGCGGAAAAAAAAAAAAAAAGCATCCTGGAGGGGCCTGTGGGCCCTGAGCAGCGACGCTTAAGACACAGTTGTACCCCGACTCTGGGTGTGCCAGTGATGAGCTCACTTACACCTGATTATTAAGTGAAAGGCCAAGTCTGACCCCAGAAATACTCCCTGGCAGGCTCTCCGCAAGTCGGAAGCACTCTCCTGGCCTTGAACCACGCATCTATTGCTACAACGCAGACCTACCCTGAGCTCCTGGGCTGGCCTCCCGAATGTCACAAAGCAGCAGTGGGGGCGCATGTGGGCCAGAGCACCCTAGGATCACACCCTGTGTGGAGCCCCCCAGGACCCCCGGCTATACCTGCCTTTGCTAGAGTACTCCCTATGCGAAGCCTGCAGCCCACTTCAGCTCCACCATGGCACCCTCTACATGGGGTGCCCCGGTGCCCACAGCCTGTGCCTGCCTCGCCTCCATCTGTCTCACCCACTGCATGGAACACCATGGGACACCCCAGCTCGTGCCCACTTCAGCTCAGGCCATTTCACCAGGGCGGGACTAGGTACAGCATGTCCTGGGACCCCAGCCCATATCAACCACAGCTCCAGCCGGTCACAGTCACCAGGCACACACAGTCGATACAGGGGACGGCCATATACAAGACCATTCCTTTACATTTAGGAGAGGTAGCTGCTCCCCTGACAATTCACCTAAACACAAAGTTGAGCCAAATGAGACAGGGGAATACGTTCCAAGATAAGGAACAAGACAAAACCTCAGACAAAGGAAAGGAAATGAAGATAACCAATGTACCTGATAAAGAGTTCAAAGTAATGGCCGTTAAGACGTTCACAGGACTGGAGAGAAAAGTGGATGAATTCAGTGAGAAGTGCAGCAAGGAGAAAGAAAACATGAAAAAGTGCCAGACCTTAAGAACACAATAACTGAAATAATCCACAGTCTATTTGAGGGTGCAGCACAGGTCTGGGAGATGGGGTAATGGAAGCATACAAGCTGAATAGGAAAAATAAGGAAGAATTTAAAAGATGAGGAGGGGTTAAGGGATCTCTTGGACAACACGTCCACTAAACAAGCATTGCCGTTTCAGGGGTCCCGGGAAGAGGAGAGAAGAGAAAGGGGCAGAAAGCTTGTTTGAAGGAATCCTAGCTGAAAAGTCCCCTAAACTGGGGGAGGAAACCGACCTTCAGATTCAGGAAGCACAGACAGCTCCAAACAAGAGGAACACACACAGGTCCACACCACAGCACATAATAATTAAAATGTCAAAGATTAAAGAGGAAATTTAAGAGCAAGAGAAAAGCAAAAAGTTACATACAAAGGAAACCCTGTTAGACTATATAGTTTCCCAGACCAAAACAAAAAAAAGGAGTTCATCATCCCTAAACCAGCCTTACAAGAAATGTTAAAAGAACCTCTTTAAGTGGAAAAGAAAAGGCCATATTAGAAGAAAATTATGAAAAGAAAAAAATTTCGTGAGTAAAAGCAAATATACAGTAAAGGTAGTAGAGCAGTCACTTATAAGGCTGGTATGAAGGTTAAAAGACAAAAGTAGTCGAATCAATTCTACCTAAAAAGATGAAGGGTAACCAACCACAAAATTAAGAAATGTAAATGTACACATAAAATGTGGAGGAAGGAGTACAAATACAATTCTTTTAGAATGTGTTCAAACTTAGGTGGCCATCAACTAAGACCCCCATATACTTAGAATGTTATATGCAAACCTCTGGGGAACCACACACCACAAACCCGTAATAGGTAAACAAAAAATAAAGCCAAAGAAAAGCCAAGCATAAAATGCCATCAATCACAAGAAAGCAAGAGATGCAGAGAAGAACTACAAAACAACCAGAAAACAAGAAAATGACAATAAATATATACCTATCAATGATTACTTTAAATGTAAGTGGCCTAAATGCTCCAATCAAAAGACACAAAATGGTGGAATGGATGAAAAAACAAGACCCACCTGTATGCTGCCTACAAGAGACATCAGGTCCAAAGACACGCAGTCTGAAAGTGAAGGGATGGAAAAAGACACTCCACACAAATGGAGGCAGAAAGAAAGCCAGGTACCAACACTTATATCAGACAAAATAGACTTTTTTTTTTTTTTAAAGTAGGCTTCACACCTGGCATGGAGCCCAGTGTGGGGCTTGAACTTATGACCGTGATAGCAAGACCTGAGCTGAGATCAAGCGTTAGACATTTAACCAACTGAGCCACCCTGGTGCCCTGGACAAAACAGACTTTAAGACAAAGACTGTAACAAGACAAAGAAGGGCAATATATAATGATAAAGGGATCAATCCAACAAGAGGATATATAACAATGGTAAACACCTATGCACCCAACATTGAAGCACCTAAATACATAAAGCAAATATTAACAAACAAATGAAGAAACAGACAGTAATGTGATAACAACAGACAACTTTAACACTTCACATCAATGGATAGATCATCCAGGTAGAAAATATGGGAACAGTGTCTTTGAACAACACATGAAACTAGATGGACTTAACATATACATAGAACATTCCATCCAAAAAACAAGAGAATACTTTTTTTTCAACTGCACATGTGACATTCTCCAGGACCTATCACATGTTAGGCCACAAACAA